TAATACATAATCCATTAAAATGATTTTTGATCATAGTAGATATCACAGCATTTTTAGCTAAATAACTTACAAAGTTATTAAAAGACCTAATCAAATCTTGTTGTTGCTTCCACAAACCCAACATACTCAAGCCAGAATATTCACATAGTACACATAGGTTAAAATAAAAGAGTACTGGAGAAACAAACTAATGAAAAAGCCTGAACTAAGCTCCTTACGCAGCCCAACCACAAACAAATCTCATCTCTTGGAGCTCTGTAATTACTAGAATGTGAAACTACAGAATGCAAACTTACAGAATGCATAGCAGAGGCGGGGGTGGTCTTGGGGTTTACATGTCTCTCCTTTCCTCAACTGCAACAGTGACTTGTTTGTTGCCCTGGAAATGAAATAGAACAGTACCTTTCCAATACTTTGTAGGACAGAGATCTACAATATATACTACAAAATGTACATCATATATTGGGTCCAACATACATGTGAATATGAACACACATACTTCATTAAACATTACTTGCCCTAAGAGGAATGCACTCTGATATTTTCTTTTCTGCTTCATTTACTTAAAACAAAATTAGCAGAAATTTTCTTCCTGGCCTTTTACGTTGGTCAGGAATATCAACTCTACACAGAAAGAAAAGATTTATCTATTTTTAATCACTGTTTTTCAGAGCATGTGCATTCTCCAAACTTACTGACAAATCTCCCCAGTGCCATCTTGTGTAGCTTATATGTATTGCAAGTTTTGTTGGTTTTGTTGTTGTTGTGTTTTTTACTTTCCCTGTCACAGATTTTTTTTATTATAATAGTTTATTTTTGCATCATTTTGTGCCTTTTTCCATCTCAGCTTTAATCCCCATGGACTTCCCATCATCAATTCACCCATGTGCCATCACCATAGTTCTGTGCACTTCCCCACCCCTCATTTGTCACAGATTTTTTAAGGGTGAGATTAAATCAGAGAACTTCATATACCAATATGGACTTCTTCCAAGACAGAATAGACTGTTTGGGGAAGAATAGACTCTGGGAGTTTTAAAATAATTTTATGTAAGTATCTAACAAACAAACCTGGTTCTGAATTCATTTCCAGTGCTGAAGAGAAACTAGCATTTCCCCTAGTATATTCCAAAAGTCTCTCAAGATGACATACAAGGCAATATTGTCATAAAACAAACTAAAACATAGAAATCTCTTTTGCTCTTTTGTAAATGATACAGAATTTCCATCTTGCCACCATGAGCACCACAGTTTACAAATTTAGTTTTTGTAGTCCCTAGAAGTAAACTTTCCCTACCAGTTTACTGAGGGAGTTATAATTCCAGATTCATCCCTGATCATGTGCTTTTGATACATTTGGAAGTATCTGTGATTTTTCTACTATCTGACTGAATAATCATAAAAGGGCTACACTAATGTATTTGCAAATCAGAGAATGTGCCCATCAGCAAAACCAAGGAAATCCAATTACTTTACCAACACCATGCAACTCAAATATTTTATGTGTGAAAATAGAACAGAATGTTACATGTTTAGTAACAAGTCAGAAGTTGGGATTTTTATGATATACCTTTAATTTGAAAGTAATAAATAAATTATTGAAATCTCAGGCTTTATGTTTTTCCGCCTAAATGATGCAATGTTCATAACTTTCAGGATACATAAATGAAAGTATGGGTCAGTGGTGTTTTCCCATGATAATTATCCACAAAAAATTTAAAGGATAATACCAGGGACACTCCTGCTTTAAAATTACATTATCATATGTAAGTCATCATTTATTATAAGATGTCAAGTGTTTTGTTATATACTGTTTCCAACCGCTATTTTTAAGAGGGGTATATTTTCTCTTTTTTTAATATGATCAATATTTCAACAGCCAATGAGAAGCAGGGTGCAGCCCAGTAGCTAATGTCTTTTAAAGAGACAGTGAATCTAACTTTCCCTAAAACTGCCAATTGTTAGGACAGGGCACCATCCTCTCACAAGTCTCTTCTTGTCTCAAGACACTTTCAGCCATCACCATGATTTGTTCATTCAGAGATCCCAGGGGACATTGATATGCTGCCTTGTAAGGCAGTTAGCAAGCAATAGTTTTATTAAAATACATTAAAAACTATTATTTATCTTACATTGGTTCTTGCACTCTAGCAAAATCTTTTTGGTTCATTTATTTTTAAAAAAAACTGTCCAATTAAAATGTCAAATGGCATTAAACATTAGCATTTTTATCTGGTAAGTGCCTCATTTTAAATGCCAACATAAAAGCTCAATACAATTATAAGCACAGGGGATTTACCTGCTTGGTACTAAACAGGGACCTTAGTCATATGTAATCCTGACATTCTGAAGTGACAAGTTGTAGCTATGACATATTCTTATCAGTTACTCATCAATAGTTGCTAAACTAAATATTGCCCACTCTATTAGTTTCTTTCAAGTCCCACCCAGGAGACACCTGTTTCTGCCATAAAGTCAAGTCAAAAACTATTCTCTAACTTCTTTGGTGCCTACAAGTTAATGAGACAAAGGCGTTCCAGTCAACAGCATTAATACCACAAAGGGTAGGAGGTAAGGCAGCAGAGAGCAGAGCTTGCTCTAGGGGGCTGGTATATGAAAAGATAAAGGCGTGGAAACAAGATGACAAAACTAAGACTTATTTTCAATGTTTATGGTCTTTTCAGCAAAATATACAGCAATGTAATTATGCTATTCACAAAATAATTACAGGATTTGTAAAAATATTAATTTGTGGCATGATCTGTTAATCATATTTAAGATCCTTCACCTTGTCTCTTCTGCTTCTCCTCTAATCTGGAGGATGATAGATTATTGATAGATAATTCATAGATAGATAGCTATCTGACTTACTGCCCCAGAAGTATCCACGTTTAGAAAGATAACACCAAGACACAGAAATCAGATAAAACCAAGTACTGAATTGTAAGGCGTAAGTGTTGTAATAGTTCTAGCTATATAACCTAAAATGCAGAAAGGTTGTTGGATACAATTTACAAACAAAACACACTAATTATGCAATTCAGGAGAGTAAGTCAGAGGAAACTAGGAAAAAGAAGTTTAACAGCAACCTGTAATCATGCTGTAGACACTACAGACCTAAGATAAAGCTTTTCAATGGAGGAATGTGAATCAGCTTCCAACCTCAAAATCATTTTCACTAGTTGAATCCTACAATAGTTCTAGCCCATCCTTCATTCCAACCTGGCGCTAACAGACTTCTCAGCAGCATTAGCCTTGAAATAACCAAAGGGAGGGACCACCTCACCTCAACCCTGAGGCACACCTAGACCCTCCCAGTTTGCCTCCATCCGAATAGCTCTGCCTCCATATTTGAACATGCTGTTTCAGTATTTCTCTCAGATGGGCTATGTAGGACTCTTGGCAGCTCTTGGGGTTTATTTCATCACGAACAGACACTCCCTCATAGACTAAGGCTTAGAGCAGGAAGGTGGGGTAGTAACCACAGGATAAAACTTGAGTTGGCCCATAGAAGAATGGCCTATATTGCCCCATGGCGATGGGGTGCCAGTTTTACCAGGAAAAGTCAATACTTTCACGTTGAAGGTAAGGGAAATGCATTTCTGAGGCCAACTGACAGAATGAATCATCACCTGTTTAAAACACAGAAGTGGCCTAAGTGAAGGCGAGTGTGAGCGGGAGCACGCTCACAGTAGCTGCCCTTGCAGGAATCGTCATGAAGCAAGGTGCCTGAGCAAGCACAGCCACCGGCTCCCCGAAAATCGCCGCTCCTACTATTTTAATTATCCATCCATTTGCTTCGTGAATACCCACTATCGGTCTCCTGCATCTCAAGATATCAAAGTTCCCAACCAAATGTGAACAGTAAGACCTCATAATCTGAAACCACTTATTAAAGGACTGACCTGTCCAGAATACACTGCCCAGGGATCTTCTCCAGAAATTCTGTCCGCCTCCTCTTACCAGTGTATGGTAAGGAATTAACGGAGGAGAGGGGGTGGGTAGACTTCATTAGTACCTTTCTGAATAATTTTGAAAAAAGCTCCCCAAACTCTGTGACTTCTTCATTGCGGAAGAAGGAAGGGGGTAAAGTTTAGGCAAAGCTCTCGCTTGCTGTCTCCTTAGACAGTATTTGCAAGAGTAAATCTTGTCACCGCCCCCCCCCCACCCCCAGCACCACCTGCAATCCTAACTCTTGGCGTATTGTGAAAAAAGATTCCATGAATTCAAGGAAGTTTGCCTGTGTGCTTTGGGGGAGAGGCAGAGTGTAGACCTTCACCCGTGGAGCCAATGCGCCTTACCCGCTCTAAACCCGCTTTCCAAGCAAAGAAACCTTTGGACTGGGGCTGCAGCCCTGAGCCTCTAGGGAGCTGGAACCTCCCCGCCAGAGGTGCAATTTTCAGTGTTGGGAACGCCTGGTTTTTTTCTACAAGCTGACGGACTAACCGAATGAAAAAATAAGTAGGTAATATAAAATAAGCAGAACTTTAAATACAACAGTACGCGAACTAGACCAAGTTGAAACAAGAACAACTCCGTTAACCCCAAACTCTTCCCCAACAACCACAGTGCCTAGGCCCGGGGTTGCACCCGCCTTGGGTCACAACATTCAGCCTCCCTCCGCTGATAACTGGCAGCCCAGAGCTTGGGAGTGAAGACAAGAAAAAAGTTCTGGAGAGAGGGGTTATGTGTATTTCAGGGTGCTCAGCGCTCCGGGGAGGGGACGCTTGGAGGGGCGCTCGGGAACTCCGGAAAGCAGCGAGTATCCAGGAGGAAGGGCGCGCCGCAGCGCTGGGGGAGGCCGGGCCACAGGAGCCGCCCCAGGTCTTTCTGAGAGGCTGGGAAAGGAGGCGGGGTTGGGGTTCGGTTAAAAAGCGCCGCCGGAGCAGACAGGTGCTGAAGACTCTGGCGCCAGCGCTTAGCGCTCCAGGACTCCAGCTGGTCCGCGGCTCCGGAGCCCGAGCGAGCCAGAGGCCAGCGGGGCCAGGACCACCCCGAGTGGCGGAGCGCCCCCCACCCACGCCGCGAGCCCCGCCCACGCAGGTGAGCTCCTAGACAGGGTCCAGCGGCCCGACCGGCGCAAGCGCTAGCCACCCCGAGGCAACTAGGGGCCAGCGTAAGGGGGAGTAGGGGTGGGGAGAACCCCCAGACCCGCAGGGCTGGAGATCCCGCCGCTGCTGTGGGGAAAACCCCAGGAGCCCCGGGTCTTGGTGTCGGTGGACCTCGGCAGGGGCAAGTGGCAAGAGCAAACTTGTGGAAAGGTGTTCCTGGCAGAATATTAAAACCCGCACTGGCCCCTTTGGACCGGATGTGCAACCATCGCGCTGGAGCGGACGCGGTAGCAGAACCCAGAGCGGAGTTCGGATGTGACTGGCAAGGGGTGAAGTGGGGCGGTGGGTGGTCCACGCGGGCCCATGTGGCCGCGGGCAAGGGTCTCGCACAGTCGCCGGTTTGGCTTAACTGTCGCCGCCCACAGTTGGAAATGACTTCAGACTTAGTTTAGGGAAAAAACTGGATTTCGTTTGCTAAACAGATCGCCTGCACTGGAAGGAGCTGACCTGTAGCTCCTCGCGGTGCCTCTGCAAAGAAAGGCGCTCGGAGAAGTTGGGCGACACAAGCGAGCACAGCCCGCCCCCACGAGCAGGGACTCGGTAGCAGACTCTGAGGTCGAGACGCTGGTTGCTTCTTTTTCTTGAGGGACTCAAGAGCATTTGTTTCAGACGGTGTTCTCCAGCTGGAAAGAAAATCAGTAGCGTAGAATAAGTGTACTTTAGGGTGGTTGCATCAGCTCACGGGAAGGGGGAGATACACCTAGACGCTGTGCAGCCCAGTTTTCTGAGCGCTGAACGTGGATGACCATTTATCTGGAACTTTGTATCGAAGTGTGTGGCACCGGCCTTCCCGCTCCCCACTCCACCACCCCCCCCCCAGTTGCCTTTTGAGTCCCTTTCAGTCGCCATTAGACACTTGTATGCAGATTGGAGCTCTGGAGACAGCTAGTAAATTGGCCTTAAAAATATGTAAGATTGAGAAATTAGGGGGTAAAATTAGGGGGTGAAGAATTCCTTTTGCTTTTTCCAAACCCCAGCAATCCATCCATTTCCTTCCCTAAAGAACAGAACCACCTCCCCTTGCTTCTGGCAGCCTCCTTCAAGTGCAGGAGAGCCTGCCTTGACCCATCTGCCAGGTCGGGAAGGGCAGGAGGGCAGCTCCCACGCTAATGTGAATGTTAAGAGCAGTCTCATCCTGCTTAGCTAGTCCATCTTGACCTCTCCCCCAATTAGAGATCAAATATTAATTTGCTCCTCTTCCTGAAAGGATCTTTGAAACAGGTAGTTCGTTGTGACTGAAACAAGAACTTTAGATACACACACACATACACACTTGTTTTACTTTGAATTGTATTTTTCTCAACTGATGGCGATTGGGCTGCTTTATAGATCAGTGAGGTTCTGTGGTTAGTACTATGGCAGAGAGCAAAGACAGAGACCCGCCACTGGATTTGAGGCCAGATATATTGATGTAAACCAGTTTATGGCTTGTAAACCAGTCAGCGAACATTTGGTCTAGATGGGCGTGTGAAATTTTCAGTACAATGTCCTTAATTCACTCAAGGACTTCCCAGAGGGGCTGTATTTAAAGGGTTAGGGCTGAATCCCAACAAAACCATGGTTTCTTTCCATGTTTCTCCTTTTCAAGCTGAGTTAGCCTAGATGTTCACAGGTATATTTCAGTCTTATGCAAGTTTTGTATCCAGGTCTCTTCCCTTATGTCCCTGCTACCTTCCCCCAAGGTGGCATGAGATGGTTTCACCCAGACCATGATACCCACAGCAGCATACAAGGGGAGACAGCAATTAAAGACACCCATTGAGGGCCTGCTTAGGAAGTCCACTGTCAGCCAGGCCAGCTTAGAACAAGAATTCACTACCCAGGTTGGGAGTGACAGAAAACAGATTACTCAGGATGTAGAGAGAGAATCATGTTTAGACGAGGGGTTGATTGAGACAGATGGAGTGTAGCTTTGAATAAATAAAGACAGCTCATATCCTGGGTGAAGAAAAGGCACTTAGCTCATGGAAGATTGCTCCACAGGTTTCCCAACCTCCATTTCCAAAAAGTAGCACTATACCCCAGCGAACCTCCCTTCTGAACGACAATCCAGTGACATCACCTTGTTGAGCCAGTAGGAACCACTGAGCTACATGTTGTCATTTTTCATAATAGCTTCTTAGAAACATACTAAATTAAAACCATGACCCACAACAGAAATGCACAGTTGCCACACTTGCCAAACACACAACCCTTAGTGTGAAAGGAGCCATCAAGCCTTGTGACAATGAAGATTACCAAGCCAGACACAAGCATATCAGAATAGTCTCTTAAGAGACCATTTCTAACCTTTTGGCACAGAATGGAAGTGAGGCCCTTTGTGAATTTTGACTTGAGTTGCCTCAAATGTAAACGTTATCGTCAATAACAATCACCTATTACATCTCAAGTCTATACAAATTATTTGAAATATTCTAAGGGTGATGACTTTGGCCTTTTTGGCCTTTGAGGCAAGGTTAAGCTCAGGCCCAATTGTAGGGCACAGCCTGAAGCCAACAAGCTGGGGCAACTGTTGAAAGTCACCAGGGCGATGAGTAACTCTGGCAGGGCAAGAGGACCTGGAAGTGTCAAAAGAGGTTTCAACCAGCTGGAATTAGTGCCTTTAAGTTAGTGAAGCATCCCGTGGCCTCTCGACCCTCCATTTTTTATTATGTGTTAAACACTGGGTAAATTATTCTGGTGAATGAGCTACTCTTATTAGAGTGCACAAAAAAAACATGGTCAAGATGGTTTGGGAACTATACATTTAATCCTGTGGCAAACAAAGTTGGTTTTGTTTTTACTTTTTTTGTGTGAGGTTAAGTAAGAGTTGGTATTTGCTCAGGAAGAGATTTAAGTCCAGAACAATCTCCCAGATTCTGTCCAGAGTAGTCATCTTGCATTTTGTTCATTTTGCCCTTTGCAGAGCAACCACCCCAGAGGAGAAGATGGATTGGAGCACACTGCACACCATTTTGGGGGGTGTCAATAAATACTCCACCAGCATTGGGAAAATCTGGCTCACTGTTCTCTTCATTTTTCGCATCATGATCCTCGTCGTAGCTGCGAAGGAAGTGTGGGGAGATGAGCAAGCTGATTTTACCTGCAACACTCTGCAGCCAGGGTGCAAAAATGTGTGCTATGACCACCACTTCCCCATCTCTCACATCCGACTCTGGGCTCTTCAGCTGATCTTTGTGTCTACACCCGCCCTCCTGGTGGCCATGCATGTCGCCTACCGGAGACATGAGAAGAAAAGGAAGTTCATGAAGGGAGAAATAAAAAACGAGTTTAAAGACATCGAAGAGATTAAAAGCCAGAAGGTCCGCATCCAAGGGTCACTGTGGTGGACCTATACCAGCAGCATCTTCTTCCGCATTATCTTTGAAGCTGTCTTCATGTACGTCTTCTATATCATGTATGACGGATTCTACATGAAGAGGCTGGTGAAATGCACCTCATGGCCATGTCCCAATACAGTGGACTGCTTTGTCTCCAGACCCACCGAAAAGACTGTCTTCACATTTTTCATGATTGCAGTGTCTGGAATTTGCATAATGCTAAATGTCACTGAATTATGTTACTTGTTAATTAGATATTGCTCTGGAAAGTCGAAAAAACCAGTTTAACACCTTACTCAGCTATTAGATGAAAGATAGACATCATGAAAAGGATGAGGCAACCTGTGCTTAGCTATCAAAGTAAAGATTTTTATCTTAAACACAATCATCTGAAACTCCTGTCCTTCTCACATAAAACCCTAAATGCCTCCCATGAAGCCTGCCCTCTCCTAAAGCTTCAAAACAAAGGCTCCATTCTATGCCTGTGGCGATTTTCACTAAAATGAGTTCCAATGAAACCCTATGTTGCTAGAGATTATTGGTGGAGGTACTTTCAGACTTTAAACAAAGGGTACCCACTTTTTTTGTCTTGAGAAAAGGCAATAAATGCCAGTTTCTAAAGAGGACAGACACTAGGAAGATCTGGTTGGTCCTCTTAGGGTTCCCTCTGTCAGTTTGCCTCAAAGTGGAGATAAGCATAAAGACATCTCCGGTTTCGTTTGCTTTGAAAGTTTTGGTCTCTACCAATGGATAAAGATACTTAATGCTTTAAACCATGTTACATTTTTTTTAAGTGAAACTTATTTTAAAATGAGACGTGTTCCTTTGATCTACAAGATGTTCTAAAAACCATTATAGGTTCTCCTATTTCAAAGGCTCAGATTGTGATATGTAAATGGTGCATAATTACATACTATCAGTGAATTTTAAATATGGCCTTTCAGTTATGAATAATTTGCATTGCCACTGAGAGGCTGGCCCTTGTGTTGATTGTGGTATGTAACTCATGAAAACATTTCAGCCTCTGTTAGTGAAACAAGCTGGAAGTTCTTGGTGATGGCTTGTAATTCAAAAGGCCTCATTTTAAATTTTAGGTGTAGTTTTGCACCAGAAATGTAGACTGGATGTATCACTGATTACTACCAACTTTAGGCTGGATCAAGAGTCAATCTTCTACATGCTTTTTCTATTACTGTGGTAAATGGTAGAAACATTGATCTAAAGGGGTTGCTTGAAAATACCTTCTTGCCACAGTATAACTTAATAGTGCTGAACAAAATGGGGTAGGTGTGGTTATTATTTTTAAAGAACAAATGAAAAACTAGACTCTTAAGTTCGATGAAATTAAAAATGAGGTTCATGTACACAAAAGTTTGTTTGCTTCCCTTTTCCACATCCCATTTTTTTAAGTGAAAATAGAGTAGACTTTTTTTTTTAACTAGAGACTAGGATTTAGATATTTAGCAATTCTACAGAACAAATTGAACCTTCTAAGATTATCATTATGGTTGACACGCTTCCCAAAAAATGCTATTCAACATACTTCAATGAAGGTAAACATTTTCTTGTTGCCATGAATAGCTTTGTAAAAACATTTTGTAATAATAAACTAGCTTTAATTACATGCTTGTTACGAAAATAATTTTGTAATGCCTCAAGTGTCACTTAAAATAATAAAATATATTAATTCATATAATTTTTTAAAATCAACTGCAGTTTGTAATAGGATAGCAGATTTTAAGTTTGTCTGTAGCCAGTTTTGTAGTTACATTAACACTTTATGTCTCATAACACCAAGCAGGTAAGTTAACAGGGCATCTAACCACCACTTGGGGTTTCTTCTGGCCCAGTTACAAAAATCCTTTGTCACTAAAGACAGGGGAGGGGGAAAGAGATTAGTTCCACCCACCCATGCTCACCTCTAATGAGAAAGAACAGTGTGATGTAGAGATGGGAAAATACTGAGTTGGTGGCTCCTAGAAGAATCAAAGACCCTACAGTTTAAAGTGCCATTCTTGTATAAAAAGACACCTATCAGGGGTCTTTTCTATGAGATTTCTTTTTAGATTTTTTTTTTTAAAGATTTATTTGTGCTTACAGAACTGGGGTACGGGCCAGAAATGTAGGGGAAGTGAGAGGATTCACCAGAGATGGAGTGGGGAGCAGAACAGGCTGATTGACAAGTACACTGCTGAGGGGAGCAGCACATGGATCAGGAGAGGTCTGCGGCGCCATGTGGTCACCTCCAGGCGGTGCTGAATGGGATTGAACTCATGCAGAAGTGGCTTCAGCTTCTTAGTGCTGTGTTTTAACCCGCTGCACTACCAGGGAGGGCGTCTTTTTAGATTTTTATGTAACCAAAGTTTACCTTATAAAACTGCTTTTTATTCCTTGGTGCCCACTTCCATGAGGCATAAATCATGAAAGAGACTCCCCGATATGTGTGCCTGCCTGCTGCCCCCACAGGCCTGCCTGGCCCCCATTATGAGCCCTCCATCCAAAATTTAAAGTGGTTTTGCTCCTCAGTAATAATGAGTATTTTAAAAGAACCATATGCACTGTAGATGTATTTAAAAGTAGAAGAAACAACCAACTTTCATCCGGATTATAGAAAAGAGTTTAAGAGTCCTGGTTATCATCCTAAGTGCCTGCACACAGCCTGTTAAAAGAGTGCTTGGCTTTAAATAGATGTGTTCACTCTTACAAGCTATGAAATTACCACTCTCAAGGTATTAAAAAACTGGATCAAAGTAATTATAGACTTCTACCCACCACTTTGAAGATCATTTCTCAAGATCAGAGCTTGAACTCATCCTAAATATATTTCTCAATTCATCAATCTGTAATTTGTACTAGGTTAAAAAAAAAAAAAAAGCTCTGTTTCATTTAACTTTTGAGATATTCTACCAAAGGGCACTGCCCTTGGTTGGCAGAATCAAGACTAAGACTAAGCTAGCCTGTCTGAGCCATTAGCACATATGACACTGAGAGTTTATGAAATTTATGAAACATGGGTAAAGTCAAGCTGTTAATTCCTCCCTATGTGGAATCCATTCATTAAAGCAGGCAGTGTGCCCTGAGGGCCTGCAAGGGCAGACAGAAGCTCACATTTCTCCAGCAGACCTCAGTTTCTTCATTGTAGGAAGCACTCACTGAATACTTCCCAAGGTTAGTGATAAGCAAAATGCCATTCAAAACTCTGCATTGTACTCAGTAAAATGTCATTGTCATCTGTTGTCCACTCAGTACATACCAAGCAGGAAAGATGATGGCTTGTATTTTAGATTGGAGGGACTCTAACCAAGTTTGATAACTAGAAGCTTGAAAACAATGCACATTTACACAAAGGCTGAAATAGGAACAATAGTGGAAGGAGGAGAGACTAGTCACTTAAGATAGGAGAAGAATGACTAAGTGCAAATATAAAAAGATACAGTGAGGACAGTTACATCACTGAAGTTAAGGAAAAATCAGCTGTGGGATATACAGTTTTGGTTCTTCTACTTAGGATCTCTAAATATCTTACAAACTATATTACCAAATGCTTTTTTGTGTAGAATCTCATCTAATCCTTGGGAACAACACTGTGAAGTGGGCCTTCAGATAGCATTGTTCCTGTTTAATGGATCCAGAGACACAGCTCCGGGAAATTAGGAATCCTACTCTAAGGCCATGAGCTGAAAGGCCTATCCACTCTAAGGTTACAGGCAGGACTTTGGGACTTTCCCTGATGTGTTTCATTCCAAAGCTATCAAGTAAGCCAAAGGATCCCAGGTCTTTGCCAGTGTTGATAGGGGTAAGGCATCAATCCTAACTTTGTGGGACACAGCCATTCCTCTAGATCCCTCTCTTAAGTATTCATGTCCTCACTCAAACTTGCTGAATACCAACTCAGTGCCAGCAACTATTAGGCACTAGGGCTGCAAAGAAAATAATTCTGCCATTAGGGTAAAGGAGAAAGGTGATGAATGGTTTACTGTCAGAGTTAATGCACCATGGAGAGGCATGTGGAGAAAAAAAAAAAAAACAAAAAAAGTGCCAGAGGCAAAGAAAAGCTGACCACAGGGTGGTCAGAGGGAACCTCTCTGCCAAGAAGACAGGGAAAGGGAAGCAGGTAAATGGCTGTCTTAGGAAAGAGTAGTCCACGAGAGAGAGAGGCCTGGGACAGCAGAGTGCAGGAGAGGACGGTAGCAGCCACCTAGGCCGCCAGGATTCATCACTGTTGTACTGAAATCTGCCTCCTCGGAACATCCACTTTAGCTTCCATTTCAGAACCTCAAATGACTGAGAACAGATCCAAGTTTAACTCCAACTGTATTCTCCAGCCACACAGCTCCACTTTCCCCAGTTGGACATTCTTTCAACACTAAACACACTGTATACCAACCTGCCAGGTACAGATAAAGAATAAAGCCCAGTTTCTCTAACCTCCACAGCACAGTATTTGGCGCCCTCCTCATGGCAGATGTCCTCTTTAGTGCACAGGGGCCCTCTCAGCAGCAGCCTAAGTACAGCCTCCAGCAAGGGGTTCCAGATACAACATCATTACTACAGCAGGCAAGTCTGAGTTCACTTTTATTTTTTTTTTAAAAAATTTATTTATTTGTCCATACAGAACTGGGGTACAGGCCAGAGGCCCAGTGGCGGCGAGAGGCTTCACCAGAGACAGAGTGAGGAACAGAACAGGCAGATCAAGGAAGTACACTGCTGAGGGGAGCAGCGGGCGGGTCAGGAGAGGTCTGCCACGCCATGTGGTCACCTCCAGGGCAGGCGGCAGGCGGGAATCGAACTCATGCGGAAGTGGTTAAGCTTCTTAGTGCTGTGCTTTAACCAGCTGCGCCACCAGGGAGGGCCCTGAGTTCACTTTTTAACAGCCTCATCACATTTCCTCATTTTTAACTAAAAGGTCATTATTGTGATTTATGTATATATAGAATTAATATATAATTACATTTGCATTTAAAATGCAATATAGAGGAATATAAAGTCAAAAGCAAGAGCCCTGTCTCATAGCCTTGCTCAAAAATATCTTATGAATATCTCAACTTCTTTCCAGACTTTTTTCTATGTATACACACAAACATACATAACCACTTTGGTTTGCATTTCTTACATTTATTTTTCATGATAGTTCCTCATTTAGTAATATGTCTTGGAAACCTTTCCAAGTGAGTATGTATAGATATAGCTTGTTTTTAACAGACATACAATATTCCACAAGATGAATGAGCTATATATTACTGAACCACCTCCTTGCTAATGAACAATTGTATCAATTTCAATTCTCACAAATTCCTCCCCCTCTGCACCCCCTTCACCAACCTCCATCCCCATCAAACCAGATTTTCCCTTTGCAGTTCATGGTACATGGACTTTTTCCAACCTAAATTCAGGGCTTTACATTTTTCCTGTTATATTTCATCTTGCTGATTTTGGCTCATCCTTCTGGCCTATCCAGATCTTTTTGAGCCCAGTAAGTAAGTATTCAACTTATTAGCAATTCCTTCCAACTTTATGTCATCTGTCATAATAATTTAAGCCAATAAAAATGTTGATAATGGAATGCCACCAAAGATTTCCTCCCAGCTTATTATCACCTCATTTACAACATGATTCAAGTTTAGATGGTAAAGAAATGTGGACTCAGCTGGAAACAATCTACATGTTTTTATCCTAATAGCAAAGACATTATGACAAGCTCCATCAAGTATCCTGACAAAAATACCTAATCGTATTTACCATTTCATTATCCATTTTGAAAATACATTTATTGAGTTCTTCCTACATACTAGGTAGGTCCTGACAAACCCGAAGATGATTGTAAAGGAGGTCATATTGTAGAAGGTACATGCATTAATTTACAAACAGTAGAATACATGACAAGGAATATGACAAGCCCACTAAGGCTTTACAAGAAAGTTTCAATATGAGAAATTGTTTCTTGGGGGTGGAGGGGTCAGAAAGGAGAGGGGTGGTCTTCAGGAACTAAGCTAAATCAAGAAAGATGACAGGATTTTACCTGGAAAAGACCTGAGACTAGTGATTGATTACTTTGGCCTTTTCTATTTCTTTAAGAAACTAAATAACTTATGAGGACTCTTTCTGTCGCTTGATTATCATAACTGGCTGAACAGTTTCTGGAAAGCCTTTAAAACAAACTAGAACCTACAGTGATGTGGAAGACCTCTCTCTTCTGCCATCTGCTGTCCACAGGGGTAACTGTGTGTAAGGCATCGCATCTTCCCAAGCCTTGGGACATCCCTCAAAGGGGGTGTGGTGGGGCAGTTGGAGGGGACAGGCGGCTGCCAGCCAGCTTCGTTTTCTTAAGAAACTGCCACAGCCAAACAGTTAGCCCGCCATTAAAACCTCATTGCTTCCATTACACTGGGGTTTGTATATCCAGTTTGTAGATATCTAACCCTGCTGTCTTGTTGGGTCCATAAAAAATGAAAAACAAAAATTCACACATAAACAATCATTATCCTCCTGAACACAGTCACTGCATGGGCTACTTAGTTCTTTGGTTAGAGGCAGATCACATAGTCCAAGGTGATCTCTGTATGCAGCCTACTTGTGTAGCAATCTATGCCATCTAGACTTGTGTAAGTACACTCTATGGCTTTAGAAGATAA